ATTATGCATCCCATAAACCAACATGCAGAAGTTCCCCTCCCTCTCTTCTGTGCAGAAGCTTAAGCTTTTCTTCCTCAGTTTCAGCAGATCCTCTTTCTAATGCTCTTTAATGGCTCTCACACTCCTCACAAATAAGCAAGTGAATTTTGCAAGTGAATGAACATAATGAAAAAGCAAGGTGTGAGGCTTGGCAACATGGGCTGGGTTTTGACACTTGCTGCATTTGTTTTAACATTTAATATGCCAGTCAATGTTCAACAGTGTGGCTGTTAGAAATGAAGTTCCAGTAATGAGGCCTAGAAATCATTGTGGAAAAAAGACAGCCATTTTTCAGGGCCAATTACCAATGAGAACTACTTGGGCTTTCTACATGCTTTCAGAGACAAATTGTTTCTCAGATTTTAAATGAGAATGCTGGCTTGCTGGGGGAGAGCCAGGCCACACTGTGTAAGACTCAGACACCTGGCTATGGGAAATGATTCATGCACACTGGCTAGAGAAAAGAAAATACATATGTAGCTTTGGGGAGGAATCAGCTACCACTTACTGCCTTCTTAGGCTGTCCAGGTAAAGGTTGTCTGCAATTAGCTCTTGTATGAAAGATATGCATGGGAAACCACAAAGGAGGCAACTGCCATCCACATATAAGAAATTACGATTACAGGAGGGTGAACGGGCAAAACAGAAACATTCAGTACTTGCCAGCGGTCATAGATTCAGATTACAGCTGGTGAAATGGCAAGTGAGATGGATGGAAACCTCTCAGTGTTTCACTGGAGGGCTGGGGTGTTAATGGGAAAGAACAGCAGAAAATACTCCAGTCTGTCTACCAAACAAAATAGCCTAAGGCCAGTGAGGGGAAAGTGTGGTGGTACCTGGGGGAGGAGAAGAGCAGTACAATGATGGTGGCTAGTAGCATTCAGAATCACTGGCCACAGTGGGCACCCGTGCTCTGTCCTGCCAGTATAGTTCCAGGCCACTGACTGAAAGATATGGTGGTGGCTGGAGGAAGCGTGGGGGGGATGCACTTAGGGGAAGATTGTTGCACTTCTAGGAGGTGAACTCTAAACTGTTTCTGACTTTTTGTCACACCAAATGTATGCCAGCAAACCCCACACGCTTGCTGCGTGGATAGATGCGCCTAAGATGGTCCCCACAGTGTGCTGATGTGACACTGCAGTGCTGGGTGGAAATTTTACCACCTGGGTGGAAGTTTTACCACCTGGATGGAATGTGTGCCTAAGTATGATGGTCTTTCCTGTAGTTCAGATGAGCCAGTGATCTCCTTTTAGAGACTGAAGCCCAGACAGGGGTTTCTGTTCTCTGCAGGTGCTTTGGGTAATTGTCTGAAAAAGAAAAGGATGCTCCCATCTCACCAGGAAGCACAAGGGAGAGGCCCATGGAGAAGACCTGGATTCCACCTCAGGCTGAAGCTCCCTTATGCTGCTTAAAAAAGCAGCCTTGCATTTTGCAGCTCCCGTCACTGCATGCTGACTTGGGCCTGCATGGGAAAATAGTGTTTTCCACTATAAAGAGGTAAATAGCTATACTTGGTACAGTGTTAAGCCCACACAGTGGTTTGGGGGGAAGAAGAGTTTTCCATGCCACTCTGAGCCACCTCATGCCCAATTTAGTGTGCTAAGAACATCTCCCCCTTCCGAGCAAAAGGCCATGGCCTTGTACTAGCTGGGAGGCAGACATGATCTGGCAACAGCTGATGCAAACATTTCCCAGACCCAAGGGGAAAACATTTAGTCATACAAAAATCCAAGTTGGTTGCCTCATACTTAAACTGCTGCCCTGTGCAGCTGAAAAGTTAATTTGGGAAAAGTGGCTGGATGACAAAGTGAGGAGAATATGGTTAAATGGTCTTAATCTTATTTATAACAATTGATTTTGCTGGTGGATGCAGTAATACTGGACATAACCCTTACTTGGAACTCTAACATTTGATCTCTGTGGTTTTGGAACATGTATTCTTGTGTACTCCACACAAAAATAGGGGGGAAAATCCTGCTGACTGTCTGCTGGGGAATGGGGCTTCACAAGAAGAATGCATCAAGTAAAATGTATTTTTTTTAATGTGGCTATTTCTGCTTTTTTCCTTTTTCTTGCATTTAAATCCAGTCATTTCCACTCTGCATGTTTGCCTTTTTGTATGAAAATTGTAACCATGCTGAATATTTTTAGTGTTGTGTTAATTGCAACTGACACACAAAAAGAGTATTTTTTCTTTGGCATTTATTAAATGGCACTGATTTTCCAGTCGTGCAACCTGACCCATAAGCTGATCACCTCTGAGCTCCACCGAGCCTTTGTGAGGTATACAGCCAATTCTTACAACCTTCTCAAGACAGAAATCTGCCTCTTCTGCATGAGCAACCACTGTGATACCCAAAATATTCCAAGCTTTTGGAAACTGTGCTTGGGTTAGGCTGGTGATAAGTGAGGAGCTACTTCTGCACTGAGGTGTACTTGCTACTGATCAAGCCGAAACCTGGCTCCCGAAACGATTCACTGGGAAGCATTATTGCTTCACTTTCCTGAAATATTGCATGCAAGCATGTAGGTTCTTTTGATAGCCCAATGTGTAGTCTTGTCTATAAAGAGTAACAGGTCACCAGCACTGTTTAAAGGCAGAGTAGCAAGTGAGCATACAAATGCCTCAATGTACAAATCACCAAGTAAAGCCCCTTTTCTACTGTCAAGGTGTGGAAAACTCACATATTCGTTACTGAGGTCTTATTTTACTGTCATATCATGACCCTAAAAGTGAATGTTTTTCAAGGGTAAGTAATAGAGATGTTCAAAAGCCAGGGTATTGGAAAGGTAATGATAGTTTTTTCTATATAGGCAGCTAAGTCTGCTCTCCAGGTATGAAAACACATTAGGTACATGCACGTGTTTGGTCACTCCCAACCTGAAGTCTTTCTCCTGCTCCAGCGATGATATAAGCCCTCCACATGGTGCTTGTGAGTAGAAAAGGCATCCAAGTCTTGAGCAAAAATCAAACTGTATTCACATGAAAGTACACTTTAGAATAAGTTGTATGGATACACAAAACCTCTTTTCTACAGACAGATGTTTGGGATCTTGGACAATGAGCTGTGGCTCAGCATTCATTCTCATTATATGAGCATGGAAATACCAGGGGAACTGGAAGCTGGTGGCCCTCATGAGCCTCCTGGTTCGCACAGTGGAGGCAGAGGGTCTGTGAGCTTCTAGTGGCCTCTTTCAAAGCTGTGGAAGACAAAAATGTAATCTAATGTGTACAGGAGAGCAGTGGAGAGTACATTTTACAGAATGTTTTTTTAGAAGGCCCTCAAGACTAATTGTGTGAAGTGGTTAGGAAAGTGTCACAGCCTTCAAGATAATGCTTACTGCTTCTCAGAGAAGACAGCATGAATTGGCAGGATCCAGAATAGTGTTCTACTCATCAGCTGGGTAAAAACTGGCTTTAGCAGTAGCACACTGCATGCTGTGTACTGGATGCCCATGCAATAGGCTCTGTATCACTGTATGCACATAAAACCTGAAAGCCAGCTGAAAGAACTGCTAGGCCTGACTACAGAGATGCGCCTGATGTGCTTAGCAGAGACTGTACTGCCCCATATGTATTTGGCTGGCCCCAGAACCACTAGGATTTGGAGGTTTAAACAAAGTAAAGTTCGGTGCTCCAGCCAGATTGACAGCAGTCACATATCTGATCTTTTCTTCATCCTGTCATTTATTTTAGAGCTGACAAATACCAAAGTGTTGCATCCTTTGGAGGACTCTGACAGAAGAGCCACCTTTAAATCTTCCTCACCATCTGAGAGGGAGGTGAGGAAGGAAGGAAGGGATGTACAATATGGCATGGGTGTGTGAGTGAAAAAGTAGATGGAAATTGATGTCCTCAGGGTCAATTCAAAGGACTGGCTCACTGTGCAATATTACTGTGCTGAGTCAGCTTATGAAAGCGTTGATGAACTGAGGAGAACGTCATCACATGGAAGGATCGTGCCAACCTGACCCACAAATTGCAGTACTATCTGTGTCTTACCCAGCATCCCTTCCCAGATGGCTAAGGAGCTTTCATAGCCACCAGCTGTTTGGGTTTGGGGGGGGTTCTAATTGTTGCTATGGCAATACTTAAAATTTGCATCTCAAAACTTACCTTGTTCTAACCTGCTCATTGTCTAGACGGCCCATGCTGGAGGAGAGGAATTATCTATGATATAGAAAACACAGCCTGAATTCCTGCCTTTTTTTAATTTCCTTTTTTTTTTTTTTTTTTAGAACCAGGCAAACAGAAAGTACTTGTCCTACTTTCTAGTCAGTAAGCTGAAATTCTGCATGTTTAATTATAAATCAAATAATTAACTACAAAGCTATTGTGGTATGGCCTTCCATGCTGTTGATGGTTTTAATTGCAAACTGCTACATGATGTGCTTCAGTAACAAAGAATGAGCCCTGAAGTAGAGGAAATGTCCTACTTTGACTCTATTTTTGCAGTCAGGATGCAGGAAATTTTCTGGTATGTCATTCCTCTCCATGATGGAGGTGGACAAAAGAACTGAAGGCCAATCAAGGTACGAAAGCCAATCAAGGTACCAGTTAGGGATATGCTGCTGTTACATTCAGCGTAGCCCTCACAGGGACAGCACAGGAGCGTGCTGCAGACTGTTCTACTTGCCCCCTTTTCAGGTCCCACTCTCATAAGAGTCATGGTTCTCCTGATCCCCAAGAAGGAGCCTGCATGGCTTACAGTGGACTTAAGGTTGAGGCAAACCATGGTGTCTGCAGTTAGGGCATTCATCACACCAGGTGGCACCCCTGTCTGGCAGTCATGGATGAGAATAAATACAGGGTAATGCCAAAGATCCCAAACTCCTCAGTGCCCATGGTGCCACTCACTGCATGGTGAGGCAGGTGCACGTCTCTCCTCTTCTGGCAAGTGCTTCTGCCTGACTAGACCACTGTCTTATTCTCTCTCATGCATCTCAGTGAAGTGTCTCCTCACTAACATCCTTGTAGGTACTGGAAAGTCTCCCTGAAGCTGTTTCTTCTTCTCCAGGCTGAACAAGCCCCACATCTCCCAGCATCTCCTCACAGGGCAAGATGCTCCAGCTGGGTAGTCCACTGCTGAGCTCTTTTTGGGTCATCAGTAACTTCCCTGAATGAGGGAGCTCTAGACACAGCACTTCAGGTGTGGTCTAACAAGGAAAGAGTAAATGGAGATAATTACTTTTCTTGATCTACTGGAGGCTGCCTCCCAGTGCCAGGGACATCTCCATTTGCTCCAACAGAGCCTTTGCCTTGCTGAAGCATCCTTTTCAGGCACAGGGTGGTGAGATCCCTTACCATGGAGGCATTTGCACTCCTGGGGCCATCAATGGAGAGACTGTGTTGGAGAAACTGTCTCCAGTTTTTGACCCCATGCTAAGGGATGTGTCACTGGAGAGACCTTAGCAGAGGGCCATGAAGATAGGTAGTGAGGACAAGAGCACTTATTGTATGAACAAGGGCTGACAGAGCACGATTTGTTTATCCTGGAAAATAAACCACAAATAGAGGAATCTATTTGCTGTCTGCTGCTACCAAATGGGAGAGTGTGGAGCCAGGCTCCTCTTGGAGAACAGGGACACAGATTTCAGCAAGAGCAATTTTGATCAGATACAAGGAAAAAATGTCACAGAGAAGGTGGCAGAGCACTGGAACAGGCTGCCCAGAGGCATTGTGCTTTTTCCAGTTTGGACACACTCAAAACTGAACTGGACAGGGCTCTGAACAACTTTTTCTAATTGGACTTGTTCTGAGTAGGGGACCTCCCAAGGCCCCTTCCAACCTGAATTCTTGGGGGATTTTATAACCTGGAAAGATCTTCAGAGGAGGCAATATGGGTCTTTTCACTGAATTTTGTCTTCAGCAGTGAGAAAGAGACACAAATTTGTGTCCTTGTGCACAACTGTATCAGGTAGCAGACCTATCCATCTATTTCCACCCAGCACCCCACGAGGCTACACAGAATTATCTAGAGGAAGGTTTTGATAGGATGCTTGCACAGTATCTTGAGCGCATTGAAGTGAGGAAGATGAATGAGATTTTCCCCCAGCAGAGTAACCTGAACTAGGAGCAACTGTCATCTGCTCAGGAGCCAGAACACACAGTGTGCTCAGTGTGGGGCAGTGAGTGCTGATGAGGAAGGGCCACCCACTCTCCAGTGCCCCAGGAGGATGAGGAGGTTGGGATGAGGCCAGGAGGTACTAGCTCAAACAGAAACATCTCAGAGGTAAAAGGCAGTGTTGGTGGCAGGTGCCTGTTGCAGGTAAGGACAGGTGCAACTCCAACAGGTCAGGAGAAGTTGGGAGGGAGAAGAATTGTGTATTATGTGGCCAGAGATGTACAGGGACTTCCTAATGGGAGAGAGTAACTACAAATCTCTTAAAGTAATTATTGTTTTCCTCTCCTGTTCACAATTCTGCTTATCTCTCTGAATCTGTACCTGCATGGAAGGCCTTCTCAGAAGCAGCTGTAAACTCATTTGCTTTCTTTTTCTTAGAAATCTTGAAAGCTACCACCAAGATGGACTGAAAACCACTCTCTCCTTTACTCATGACCAGAAAAAATCTGGAGTCTTTCTTTGCTGAATGCAGAGACTGAGCAGGGCCAATACACTGCAGTGACAAACAGTGTTAAAGCAAGTCTTTGGGCAGAATAAATGTAAAATCCTCCAAGTCTGCTACGACATCTTTCAGGCATATTTAGTCATTGAAGCTGAATATCGCCAGCTGTGCTAAACTGTTAAGCTGTTGAGTTTCTGTTTGCAAGCCACTAGCAAAAAATAAGTTAAAATAGTCTTGCTGTGCCTGCTCTTGCCTGGCATTGCTGAGGGAATTGAAACTTAAAGCCCAGATCAATTCAAGTTTCTTAGAAAAACATGCAAGTCCTTCATGCTGGTGATGTGTTCCAGTACCTTCCTGTTAAAGCGTTTCCTTTCTGCAGCAGTGTCAAGGGATGTAACTCCTTAAACAGGGACAAGTGAGCTGCTAATTTATTGTATAAGGGAGTCTCTCTTGTCCTCACTCTGTTAAGTGTACTGATGTGGCTGTGCAGAACATCTCTGTGCTCAGGGAATTTTTTGGTCTTGCATTTCTTTAGGTAAAGAGATATATCCAATTTCCTTTCTCGTATTTGCAACAGCAGTTTCTAGGCAGTATTGACTCAAAATCCTCTATTTTTATGTGACTAACTTTAGCAGCATAAATCTAAGTGGTTGAGATTACTGTAAGGACTTGGAGTCCAATCTCTAATTTTATTTTTGTTTTTGAAGCATATGCATCCATGAAGACAAAAAACCCACAGAGTATAAGGGGGACATCAAGAGGACTGACCCACTGACAAATCTGGTTTAAGGCTAATATGGAGAAGTATACATCTCCCTCAGCCATTATGTTATTTCAGCATGAAGTATTTGTGGAGAAGAGCTGGTTTCCTCTCTTCCACCCTCCCTGGCTGGTGCCCCGTCTGTGAATGCCTTGCACCAGTGCCTTTCCAGGTGCCAAAGGCACAGTGTAGGCAGAAATCCTCTGCCAGTAAAGACTGATGCATTGGGCTTTTTCCTTGATGTGCTAAGAAGAAGCAGTGAAGGTTGTTGCAATGGTGGGGGGCTGTTTAGCAGGGTCACCTCGTGCTGGGGGTTCCAAGTGTGGCAATTCAGAGGTTCTGGATGGCAACCCAAGACTGCCAGGGCTGTGCTGAAGCAAGGTGGCTCCTGGTGAGGAAGAGGAGGATGAGGGGGAGAAGAAGGAGGAGAGGGTTCAGGCCTGAGCTCCTCGTTCAGCATCCTGCCTGCCAGGGACCCAGCAGAGACACCCAGGTACAGGCAGTGCTTCTCATCTCCCCTGTGGTCTAGTGGGGGTCCTGCCATTGCTGCAGTGACAGCTGTGTGTGGGTGGATAAGTCAGCTCCAGCAGAGCAGCAGGTTTTTCTTTTCCAGTTGCGTTTCTCTACAGCCCCAAGAGCAGATGATGTTGGCCACTGTGTTGTGTGAAGCACTATTGCTGTGATCTGTATAAGTAATTATCGGAACCTTTGTTTATTAATCTATGATTAAAATCCTAAGTAATTTAGATGCAAATTAACTGCTTTGCTTATGATCCTGGACAGTAGCCAAGCTGGCCCTTGGTGTGGCAGAGCTGGCTGTCGTCTCTAGTAGCTACACTGCTCTTGGGCTTGATACCCCAGCACACATTGCTAAAAAACTCCTCAGCCACATGCTAAACCCACTGCAAGGTGCAGAGCAAGCCCACGCAGCAAGAGGTAGGATGGGCCCAATGGCTCCCTGGTTGGAGGATGGGTGAAATGGCCTTTCGGTACTTAAAAGGGGCCTATAAGAAAGATGGGGAGAGACTTTTTAGCAGGGCCTGTTGCAACAGGTTGAGGGTTTTAAGCTAAAAGAGGGGAGATTCAGGCTGGACGCGAGGAAGAAATGTCTTACAATGAGGGTGGTAAAACAATGGCACAAGTTGCCCGGGGAGGTGGCGAATGCGCCATCCCTGGAGATATTCGGGGCCAGGCTGGATGTGGCTCTGAGCAACCTGATCTAGTGGAAGATTTCCTCTACTCATTGCAGAGGGTTTGAACCAGATGACCTTTGACGGTCACTTCCAACCCAAACTATTCTATGATTCTATGATGAACTTCTGCTTGATTGATGGGACCACACACCCTTTCCCTCTTGTCCCCAAAAAAGCCCCAGTGCACAGCATCTGAAGCCTGTGCATTGTGAGCACATGTATCTGAGGTGCTGTGGAACAGGGCCTGAGTACTTGAGGATTTCTGAAGGATTTTTTTTTTTTAATGATGACAGGGAAAGAAGTTGTGGGCAATCTCTTTTTCTTATGACCTCCTGGAAGGTAAGTTGACACTTCAGCAATATTCCCAGCCATCAATGCAAGTAGGTAGCCCAGCTTTTTCTCAGCTGTGTGCAATGATAGGTCAAAATACCCAGCTAAAACATCATGAGGGCAGAAGAAGCTATTTGCTAAATATTTCATTTTTTAATATGTATTTGTTGTTAATGAAATTTAGGTAAGCTATTGATTAGATTAATTTTGTTTTGGTAGCTGAAAATACTAATACTTATGGGTATTTTTTCGAGTGAAAAACAGGTTTTGAATGACACATTATGTCTCTTCCCCTTCCAGAGCTGGTGACAGTTGGAGAGAGGTGATGCTAAAGACTGGGGCAAACCTGTGATGGTTTTTGCCATGCACTGCCTGAAGACTATTGTTCCTGCTCCCCAACTGCAGTGACTCCATTTGTTAGTCTACTATTTGAAGCAACAACTTTAAAAAAAACCATAATTAAATTCTCAATTTAGTAAGAAACCCCCAGACCCCAGCTCTTCTAAATGTAAAATAATTGATACTTTTTATGTACGCATAAACGAGAAAAAAAAAAACCCAAAAGATGGAAAGGCATTATTTTGTATTGTTCCTAAGAAGACTACACCATCCCTTCATATCTCACTGACAGTGTGATGATCCACTGGCTTCCAGCCAAAAAACACTTGAAAACTGTGGGGGCCATGTCCTGTGCAAGTGCTCTCCCGCAGGGATGCAGCAGCGGAGCCATAATAAAGGCTGTGCTGTTTGGATGGCAGTGTGAATGGCAGATTTGAAAACCAAGTACAGTTTTACATTGCAGGTCACAGTCTCTAATGGACTAATTCCTAGTTAGAGTCCCATGGTATAGGCATAGGAAAGCACTGTGCTCCCAAGACCAGCAAGGCTCATAAAGGACACTTTCCTACAGTTACCTGAGCTTTGAATCCTTTGGTGCTGTGTGGGGGCTGAGCCCCAGTTGAGGAACACAGGGCATTTGCGGTTTTGCTGAACAGAGGCTGCAAAGCCTTTTCTCCAGTGGGACATTTCCAGGATGTCTCCATCACCTGGCTGCCTGATTTTATGTATGGCATGAGTAGGACTGGATTTATGAGATGTCCACCCCTCTGTTTTGGGTCCAACCTGTATGGCAGGCTGCAAAGCTGTGGGAAGTGAAGAAAGGAGCATGGCATGGCAGCACGTTGGTGAATGTGGCTTTTGCATGGTGCTCAACCACTGCAAAAGTTTTTCCTCCTCATGTGGGAGTGTTGGTACTACTCCAGCTTCAAGTTGACATGCAACTGGCTGAGGATACTTCAGAAGTTAGGCAAGCTTGCCAGGTTATGCCAGAGCCTAAGAAAGGAGGATTTATTAGCTTTTAAAAGCACAGCTCTCTAACAGAAGTCCATTGGAGTTCATAGTGGGGCCTGGGGTGATAATTTTTTCATCAGAATAAAAGTTTAGCATGCTTTCTAGGACTAAGCAGAATAGGGCTTTGATGATATCTGCTTCAGGCCTGAAGAAATAACTTGTCTGTTTTTCCAAGGGCTGCCAGTAGCTCTAATAAAAGATGTTTTGCTCCCTACAAGTTTAAAGTCCTTGAAGCTAGAGCAACAATCCTATTAAAGGCTAGGTTGTTTAGCTACTTAAAGTAATAATTTTTT